ATTCTTCACACCAGCATCAGTTGCCTCAAATGTAATATCCCAGATCAAACCAGATACGACCCTTGTGCTTGCCCCGACCACTCTCACAAACTCAAGATTTGAATTCTGTAACGGAAGTTATGCCACTTTAATTAGTAAAAATGATAAATCAACCACATAATGTGCACAGTATCATGAACATTTTGCAGTTTACATCTCTCTCCCTCTCTCTCTCACACACACACACACAAATAAAAGAGGGAGGGAAGGAGTTGGAGAGCCACATTAGACAGTTCGTGTTGGAAATAAAATAACCCATTATTATTTTTTAATTTATTCAGCCCATAAACATAAATAATAAATAAACATAAATAAGCACACAAGATTAAACTATATTTAAACCTGTTGCTTGTTGTGTTGCTCCACAGCAGCATCAGGATCATCCATATGTCCAAAGAAGGGAAAAGTTCCACCGGCGCAATCCGACTCAAACGCCTGTCATTAATGTACATAGTAATGTACATACATATATTTATATAAGAGAGAGAAAGAAAGGGGTAATACCTCCCTGGCAACAGGATTTTCTAAATGGAACCAGTCTTTGAGTTACCCTTAGGCATGCAATCAATGATTTCAGCAAGACGTGCGCTCGAAGAGGAAGAGGAAGAGGAAGAGGAATAACGACAGAAAGACCTTACCGGATTTTGCTGGTGGTTTTTGATTGAAATACCACTTAAAAAACATCTCTTCGTCAAATTCAAATGATTCTTATAACCAAGTTTACCCACTTTCTCAAGCACACAACGAAAAGCCATCAATAAGGGGTGCCTTGTACGGACTGAACGGCGACTATGGATGCTTTGAGGAGGTCGGATTGAACTACTGCGATCGATAGAAGAGTTCTTGGTACGCCCTTTAGTATTTTGCCACATCAAATTTGGGAACAACCTACCTACTCACCCATCGTGGTATTTGGAAATGACCAACATACCCTTTACTTTGCTCTCCATTCAAATTAGGATGGTGATAGATGAGCGATTATTTTGACAATTTAGTTCCGCAAAATACATATGGTTTTTCAGGTAAGTAACTTTAACAATTAAAAATAAATAAAAAGAAAAACAATATATACATCCCCAGATTTATCTTTCTCATGTTATCAAGTTCTAAGCTAAGTTTTTCTCTTATGATAGTTATCAAATCTCTCCCTCTTCGTTTCATCACTTCAAATAATATTTCTTATCATCTTAACTTAAAGAGTGAAAGAACTTTTAATTACCAAAAAAAAAAAAAAAAAAATGAAGAACTTTTGATTTTAAAAATATATGGTTGCAACTTTATATCATATATCATATTCATATATATTGTATCATATGTGTAATTTTTTTTTGGGAAGGTAAATATGTGTATTTATTTGTTTGATTATATTGTTCTTCACAGTCTATAAAAAAATTTTAAAGAGATATTAAAGAGAGAAATACAATGAGAAAAAGAAAGAAAGGAGAGAGGAGATGAGAGAGAAAGAGATGGAAGTGGCCTAACTGAACAGGCTACGTAGTTTCTACCAAAGTAATCGGTCAAAAATTTCGGTTGAAATATCATTTTCCTTCATATTAACACAAATAATACTGTTATAACTATATCTAAACTAGAATCCGACCGTTTTTATAAATGTAATATCCCATTTGAAAAATAAATGTAATATATTTTTAAAATATTAACAATTTAGTTTTATTATATTGAATCTATAAAAAGTAAATCATTATATTATATTATATTATTGTTAGCCCATTAGTATTATATTTGATAATTCATTCACTACTAATACAATAAAAATAATAATTATAATAATTTACATAAAAAGTGAGATTCTAAAAAATGGCCACTTATTTTAGGACGGAATAGTATTAAAATTCTAAATTAATATCAATACTATACTCTTGTATCAGATCCATTATTCCTAACTAAACAACCATTATTCATATTATAATATTAATCAACTTCACACTTCATGTTATAATATTAAGAATCTATTTCATTTCTTTCTATTCAGCTTGTGTCGCACCCAGATTTTTCCCTTACCAAACCTAGTAAGGCTTATACCCCGGGTTAGAGGCCAAATCTCATGTGAAGAAAAAAGATCATGAACCTATTTTGCAATGGGGGTGGCTACAGCCTTAAGATTTTGAAATGTGGTGTAACGCTCCAAATCCCATAATCTGGTGCATTAACCAAGAGAACCAAACTCGACCCGAGAACCCGAGGTAACAACAAGTGGAAGCTAAGGTCAAAACAATAATAATGTGGAAGCGAAGGGTAAAATTGTCATTTCCCGATGACTATGGTAAACGTGATGAACACCATTGGATAGCCAGATCAAAAATAATAAATTTAAGCTCAATAATGACCTATGTCGGGTTTAAAGCAAAGAAGTTATGGTTGTTTGAAGATGGTGCAAAAGAAAAGAAAATATAAAAAATAATAATAATTAGGTGGGTGTACAATCGTCCGAGAAGGGTGAACAATCGAACGAGCGCCCGAAGTGGGTGATTGATCACCCATGCACCAAAAAGTGCAAAGTACCAAACAAGGTCCGAAACGCCACCGAAACCATTCCTGAACATCTTGCAAACATCCGAAAGTGATCAAAGGTCCATGAATCATGGCATAGACAAAATGTGATCCAAATGAATAAGTGCAACATACATTGAAATGTGCATTAAAGATGAAATTCACACATTGAAAATAAAATGGCCTTAGGGCTTCAAATACATCATATTAAATTCACTTACACTTGCATACTCTAAAAGTAATACACGAGATTACAACCACAAAAGAAATAAGTGCAACATAGGAATTGAATTCCCAAGATATACATGAAAGGTTATATACGTAAAAAAAAAAAAAAAAAAATACATCCACAATTGAATCAAGGTAAGTCATCAACTCTAAAAGTTGTCTCAGGCAACTCCTTTTTCTGAAAAATGGTTATATAATAAGGGTGAGCACCACGGCTCAGCAGGATGGTGGATTATACAAGTAAAGTGTGTCCTTTGAAATCTCAAAGGACATGCAAGAAATGTTTTCGACATCCCAAGGATAAAAGGTAATGCAACCTAAGATTCTAAGCTCCGTGAAATGAAGGGGATTATACACCCTAACTTTAATCTCCATAGCATGATATTCCGACTCAACTCAAGTAAATCATATAGTCAAATCATGTATCAACCATAACACACCATCAAGAGTATCCATAAATAAATTATAATCCTCAAATAGCACATTATTAAATAATGACCACCACAACACCACAATGGTAATAAAGTCCACATAACTCCATGAATTATGAACTCAGCGCAATCCCATGAACTCCGACATGGCTCAACTCACTCAATGAGAATGTCACAATGCAAAATGATAATGCCCATACCAAAAACCATATTCCGCACATGAAAATGAATTGGTGCACTTCCGCACCCCATTGGCCAATGTAGCACTGAGCCACCCTCTTTAAAACTTAGATAGCATATATCTATCAAATATGTCATGTATGCCATGCATACGCAACCCATAAACCAAATGACAACCATAATGTACCTACCCACAGCCAAGGTGGCACTCAAACTATGACCCACACATGTAGTAAATTACTCCAAAGCACCCCAATGCTAAAATCATGTCTAAATCTGATCAAGTCCTTCAAATGTTTATAAACACATATGCATCCAAATATCCAAATTGTCAACATTTCCTCATCGAGCATGCATAGGCAAAATATATAGCAACCAAGTACTCAATTACCCCCCTTTTCGTTCATGCTAATGATGTGCTTGGTGAGCAAGAATACAATGAAATACAAGTGGGAATGAAATGGGAATGGAATGGTCATTCTCATTCTATCGTTTGGTTGCAAATATGAAATGTGTATGAATGAAATTATAATAACTATTTCACTATTTGGTTGAACAAATTTAAAATTTAGAATATAATGAATTTCAAATTGAATAATGTAAAATACCGAACAAGTAAATTAAATCAACGAAATAAACATTCTTCTATATTTTTTTAAAAGAAATGGCAGAGGTGGTGGGTGGCGATGACAATGGTGGTGGAGGTTAAAAGTGGTAGTGGTGTAGGTGGTGGTAGTGGTTGTGGTGATGGAAGGCGGCGATGGTGTTAGCAGAAGGCGGTGGCAGTAACAATTGGAGTAGTGGTGGACGTGTCAGTACTCGTTTAGGTAATGATGGTGGAAGGCAGTAGCGATGGAAGTGGTGCATGTGGTGGTGGTGGAAGGCAGCAATGATGTAGGTGGCGTTGGTGGTGGAAGGTGAGGGTAGTGGTGGAAGCCGATGGAGGTGGAAGAAGGCGGTGGTGATGGAGGTGTCGATAGTGGTGCTGGTGGCGGTGGTGAGAAAAACAGTGGCGGTCGTAGGTGTAATAGTGATGGTGGTCGAAGGTGGCAGTCGTGGAAGTTAGTGGTGGTTGTGGTGAAAGCGGCGATGATGGAAGGTAGTGGAGGCAGCAACAATGGTGGCGATGGCAATGACGGTGGTGGAAGGCAATGGAGGCGTCAACAGTGAAAGGTAGTGGCTGTTGCGGTAAAAGACCGTAGTGGTAGTGGGAGTCGTGGAAGGCAATTGATTAGAGCCTTCCCAGCTCAGTTATTAAGCGGAAGCCTCCATAGTCAAAGCTTCTTGTGCATCTATGCTCTCTGATCTTGTTGCTGCTTTTGCTTGCAAATGTTGAGGCAGCAATGTATGGTTGGGTGGATGAAGAATGTGTTTGGGTGCATATTTTGGACCTTGTTTTGTAGGCCTGCTCCATTATAGTTGTTCTTTCTTTTTTTTTTTTTAACAACAATACCTAGAACTCCTAATCACCTCGGCAAAAAAAACACAAAACAAAAATCTCCTAATGAGCTACCTATTCTTTAGATACCAATTCATAAGCTCAAGTGTGAGAAGATGAGAACTAAACCCAAACAGATCCTAACTACACTGAACCATAAAATGGTTGATCACTTGTAGAAAAATATGCATAGCTTAAGAAAATAAATATGCAAAACCACAATTTACATATAATCATTGTACTAGAGAAGAGTTACATAGCCCTATTTAAGTTGAATAGTAAAGAAACATATAGATTAGATACTTCTAATATAATAGAGTGAAAATATCTTAATTCAGAAAAAGATGCGCATTCCATTAATAGAACATATTATCACTTCAACCCCCATGTAGAAACAGCTACTTTTCACCTAGTTCTTCCAGATCACCTGTAGAAACACAAAAAAAAAAAAAAAAAAAAAAAAAAAAAAAAAGAAAAGAAAAAATAAAGGTAAAATAATATAGAATATAAATCATCACCATCCTTTAACAAAAGAAAAGGGAAAGGAAAATAATTAAATAAAAACCCATGCCACTAGTCTACAGCTTCCAAAGTAAAATGTTCATATGAAATAAAAGCCTATTCAAGTGTGCGTGTGCACAGATTCTTTTTACCCCTAAAATCCCATCCTTAAGCCTCTAAATCACATTATGTATTCTTGACTTGCAACGTTGATGCACTTTATACGTTCCCCAAAGGCCCGAAAAGAAGAATCAACTAAATGCAGTTAGTCTATCTAGGATGAATTTTATCAAACCATTTCAGCCCCAATTCAGTACAATAAAAGATGCAAGAACCACCACAAAAGAAGCACATAAAGAAAAATTACAAGATACCATTCAAAATATAGCAGCACAATTGTTAGAATGCTTATGTATATATATATTTAGGTTGGGTCATTATGGAATTACCCATAGTTGTTAGGATCATTGTGTAATTAGGTAACCTTGTATAATTAGGTTATTTTGTTTTCCTTTATATATGCCCACCCCCCCCCCCCCCCCCCACACACACACACACAAATGAATCTGAACATGGTATCATAGCTATATGGATTCATGGGTGTGGGAAACGACAATTGTGTTGCCCTTGTATAAGATTGGAATCGCGATCGGAATCGCGAGTGTGTTGTTGGTGTCTTTGCCGGAAGTTCTTGTCGTCGGCAGCTTGAGAACATCATTTGTCGTTGTCTTCGTCGTCAGATCTGAAGCCTCCTTCGTCGCCATCAAATCTGAAGCCCCTTTGGCCGCTTGTGTTGTTGCCGTTGTGGTCGTCAGCAAGCTCGCCAACATCTACCGTCGTTATTTACAGAGGTGAGGCTTCATCGATTCGTCTTTTCTCTTGGTCGGAAGTTGCAGAGGTTCATTTGGTGTGGTGTCGCTGATTATTGCCATCTCCGCTACGTGCTTGCTGGAGTCTGTCAGTGCAGTCGTGAAGAAGAACAATCGTGTTTGGCTACGCGGTTATGCTATTCCAACCCTGGTTTATTAAAACCGGGATAACAGAGAACTAGTTTTGATCCAGCCCCGGTTGCCCAGATCCAACCCGGTTACCGAGATCCGATCCGCTTGCCCAAATCCGACCCGGGTGCTCAGATTCGACCCGGTTGCTGATTCTGCATTTTTTCCCAAGTTCGTTTTTTTTACCTTCTCCATGGCTTCTAGTTCAAACCTGTTATCTCTACCTCCTTCAATCCTCCCACGACTTCAGTCAATCTTAATGGCAAAAATTACATTTTATGGGCTAAGTTAATAGCCATTTTCCTGAAAGCCAAAGGCTTTGGCATTCATTTGGTTATGGATAAACCCAAAAGCAGTGATGCTGATTTCGGTTCATGGGAACAAAGGGATGCTCAGATCATCTTCTTAATGCTGAATTGTATTGAACCTCATATTAGCTCCAACTTGTTATATCTGGACACTGCCAATGAGATATGGACCCGACTCCAACAATTATATTCCGGTACTAGTAATATAACCAGAATTTATGAGGTGTGTGTACAATTTTTTGACCTCCAGCAAGGGACTCAAAGTTTAGAAAAATACCTCTTACGGGCAATGGGACTTTGTGAAGAAATGAATTTGTTTCAACCCATCACCTTTGATGTGAAAAGCATGCAACAGCAACGTGAGGATTTTAATGTTGTTCGGGTTCTTACAGGATTGTCACAAGAGTATGAACTTGCTCGTGCACAGATTTTGGGTAGCCCTGCACTTCCCTCTCTACCTGATATGTTATCCAGAATCCAGCGTGCCACTTTATCTAGTGGCGCTTCAGGGGGTGCTTCAAGTAGGGTCACTGCTCCTCCTAGCAGTGAACGTTCTGCCTTAGTTGTGAACCAAGGTGGCCTTCAGTCTTCTCGTGGCGGTGGTGGTCGTTTTACTCGTGGCCGTGGTCGAGGCAGAGGCAGAGACTCAAAACTTTGAACTCACTGCAGTCTTACTAATCACACTGTCAATTACTGTTGGGATCTTCATGGGAAACCGCCACTTTCTTCTTATGCACATCAAGTGACTTCTAATGATGGGGATTCTTCTCTCTCTGCCACACCCACTACTCCACGTGGCTGTTGAGACTGCTATGGTCAAAATTCCCCACGACGAGTATGCTCAATTTTTGTCTCAACAACAGCCTTCCACCTCATCTTCCATGGGGTCCTTGCCCAATCAGGTAGTGCCCCTGCATGTCTTTTGTCCTCTAGTCAGAGTCCCTGGATTCTCGACTCTGCGCATCCGATCATATGACTAGTAGTTCTCATCTCTTATCTGATTTTCAGTTTGTTCCTTCCTCTCAAAGTGTTACTCTTGCTAATGGATTATCAACTAAAGTTTTGGGTTTGGGAACTATTCATCTTACCTCTTCTATGTCCCTTTCCTCTGTGTTATAAGTTCCTCAATTCCCTTTTAATTTGTTGTCTATTAGTAAAATTACTAAATCTCTTAACTGTTCTATTACATTTTATCCCACATGTTGTCTTTTTCAGGATCTCAAGACAAAGAAGAGGATTGGTACGGGACATGAAGTAAGTGGCTTGTATTACTTTGATCTTGCACCATCTCCCACGACTCTTCAATCATCTTTGTCTTCTTTCTAGTGGCACTGTCGTCTCAGCTATCCATCACTATCAATTCTGCAGTGTCAGGTCCCAGTCTTAGTTGTATTAAGTCCATGTCTTGTGAAACATGTCAGCTTAGTAAGCATTGTCGTGTATCTTTCAAACCGAGAGCTAATAATCGTGTTGCTAGTCCTTTTCAATTAGTTCATTCAGATGAATGGGGACCAATAAAACAAAATTCTATTAATGGATTTCATTATTTTGTGACTTTTGTGGATGATCATTCTCGGATGACTTGGTTGTCTTTAATGAAAAATCGTTCTGAGTTGTTTTCTATTTTCCAAATATTTCACAAAGAAATAAAAACTCAATTTGGGTGTTCCATTAAAGTTTTACGTTCTGACAATGCCAAAAAATATTTCTCGGACCCTTTTGAGACTTATTTTCATGCTAAAGGCATCATTCATCAATCATCTTGTACTTATATTCCGTAACAAAACGGAGTAGCTGAACGGAAAAATCGTCATCTCCTGGAAGTCTGTCGTGCCCTTTTATTTCATATGCATGTTCCCAAACGATTTTGGAGTGATGCTGTTCTTATGGCATATCATCTTATTAATCGGATGCCTCGTCAGTGTTAAAACGGTAAATCTCCTCATTCTGTTTTATTTCCTGACTCTGTATCATTTAATTTGACTCCGCGGGTCTTTGGATGCGTGTGTTATGTCCATAACCTTGGACCCGATCTTGATAAACTCGACCCTCGTGTCACTAAGTGTGTTTTTCTTGGGTATTCTCGCACTCAGAAGGGTATCGTTGTTACAATCCTCATTTTCAACGTTATTTCACTATTGCTGATGTCACATTTTCTGAGTCTCTCCTATATTTTTCTGATTCTACTACTCCTCTCGATATAACTTCTGAGCCACCTATGCCAACGGTTCCATCTCAGTTTCCTGCTTCCGCACCTCCTCGCTCTACTGTCCCATTGCAGGTTTATACTCGACGACCTCGACCGCTTACTTCGTTCCCTCCATTTCCTTTCAGAGTCTTCGGATCCGACGCCTTTAACTGATGATTTGCCTATTGCTGGTATTCGGTCGTGTGTTACTGCACATCCCATTTCTAACTTTGTCTCCTACCGTCATATTTCATCCTCTTTATCTTGTTTTTTATCCAGAGTGTCTGCTACTTTTGTTCCCAAGACTTTGCAGGATGCTCTCTTTGATTCGGGTTAGCGACAGGCCATGGTAGATGAAATGGATGCCCTTCACCGTAATTGAACATGGGATCTTGTTCCCTTACCTCCGGGCTCCCAAACAGTTGGTTGTAAGTGGGTCTATACAGTTAAATACCTTCACGATGGGCCTATTGAGCAGTTGAAGGCTTGTCTAGTGGCAAAGGGGTACACTCAGACTTATGGTGTTGATTATGATGAGACTTTTTCCCCTGTTGCTAAGATTTCTTCTATTTGGGTACTTATTTCCATTGCTGCCAACTGTAACTGGCCATTGTTTCAATTGGATGTCAAAAATGCCTTCTTACATGGTGAATTGGTTGAAGAAGTTTATATGGAACAACCACATGGGTTTATTGCTCAGGGTGAGTATCGTCACACTGTTTGTCGCCTTAAAAATGCCCTATATGGATTGAAACAATCTCCACGGGCTTGGTTTGGAAAATTCTCTGAGGCGGCATTAGAATTTGGCCTTAACAGATGCCAAATGGATAATTCGGTATTTCACCTGTGCACAAAAGCTGGCTTCATTTTTCTTGTGGTGTATATAAATGATATTGTGATCACAGGTGATGATTCTGAAGGCATTGCTAAGTTGAAGTTGTTTCTGCAAAATCGATTCCACACTAAAGACTTGGGTAAACTTAGGTACTTCTTAGGTATTGAAGTTGCTAGATCCAAGAAGGGTATAAGTTTATCTCAATACAAATATGTGTTGGACTTGCTAGAAGACACGGGAATGTTAGGTGGTTGTCCAGTTGATGCTCCTATGGATTCAAATACAAAACTTGTGTCTGATAAGGGTGATCTATTTAATGACCTGGACAAATTTTGTCGCCTTATTGGGAAATTAATTTATCTCACTATCACTCGACCTGATATTTCATATGCAGTTAGTATTGTAAGTCAGTTCATTGGAGCTCCTAGAATGCCACATTGGATTGCTGTTCTTCGAATAATCCGATATCTCAAGCAAGCTCCAGGTTTTGGGTTACTATACAAATCAAATGGTCATCTCAGGGTGGAAGGTTTTACAGATGCTGACTGGGCTGGTTCTCCTTCAGATAGGAGATCTACTACTACTGCACATTTGTAG